TATGTTTCACTGATTTTGAAACACTCTGTTTATATGTGTGATTATTTATTTGGTATTTATGTATACGTCTCCCAGATACATCAGAATTAGTAGAATAAAAGTTCAAAACAACTGGGTTTTCAATAATCACTTGAGAAATTAAAATTATTGCTGCCAGTCGAAATTTGCTCGTTTTAATATCAAAATAAAATGTAAAAAGTCTTCTTTCCATTTATTTATGAAACTTTTCTAATGCGTCATATGGTATTTTGGCATTAGATACGTCCTTAATTTGTCCTTTCTAAGTTTTTTGGACTATTGCATAATTTTGCCTCGCTTTACTATTTCTGTACTATCTACTTATTTCGCCAAATTTAGTCATTCCGCAAAATTGAAGTTCTTAATTTAAATTTTCATAATCAATCGATCTATATTTCCGTTTTAAAAGCAATAAATATAATACTTAACAATTTAAAACGTTATTTTAATGTGTAATGATTTCCATGAATTTAATTTGTATTATATTCAACTAATAATTTTTTTGAACATTTCCTTGCTTTATTTTTGATATTTTTATTTTATGTTTTATTTGTGTATTGATTGCTCCCTTTTGTTCTCAAGTTTATGAAAAATTATCTTTACACTTTACATGCTGTTATCTATAAAACAACAAGACATTTTCCTTTGTGTTTACCTTACGTTCACTGAAGTACTAGAACTTCCAGAACATTACCTTTTGCTTATTATTCCCGAACTTTATTGCCTTTTATATAATTTAATTATAATGGCATCAAAAATTAGTTATCATACAAAGAAACCTAACGTTAAGCATCTCCCGAGATTCAATGTGCGCTTTTCTCTAAAATTATTCGCTTCTATCTCTTAATATCAAATGATACAATTATGACTGCTCTCTAAAATTTTCAATAAAAACCAATGTTCGTAAGGGAAACATATTTATCGAGCGAATGTAAATTGCAAAATAATACTGTTACGAATTTTGTACACAGATAGATGATTTTAGTGAAATTGTATTTTCTGCATAATGTAACGTGAAAAGCTGATAAAAATAAAGCTCTACCAGGACGCCAAATTTGGCGAAACAATTTGCCAAAAAATTTTGACGTTTTCTCGCCAAAAATCGCCAAATTTGGCAACTATTTGGCGACATTTGAGTCCGGTCCCCTGTATCACCTTAATAGGTATTGTAGTTGAATAAATGTAATTGATGACTATATTGGCTGTAGGCGCAATTCGAACCTCATATACCTTTCCGTATTTTCGAGAAGCAGAAAGTACTAGAAATCTTTCAGCAGGGTGAAAACTATATAAGACCGAAGGGAGTATTGTTTCCTCAGATGTTGTTGTCAGCTCCTAGTTCAGCGTGTGTTCGTAGTATTCAGATATAATTGCTGTTTGATGCGCTTTGCGCCGCTTTGTGTTTAACGTTCTTAGCAGTTCAAAGTGTAACTATTGATTATACTCTGTTCTACTGTAAACGCCAGTACTATATTTCGACCGTCTCAAGCGCAACCCTGGTTGGCATTCTGCCAAAACTAATACACTCGTCCAAAAGGGGCGGTATACGAATGGTCTTCTCTTTTCCCTAAAGGAGCTATGCTGGACGAAAAGAAAGTTTCCCATCCTTCCACCCTGTTTTGATAATAACTTGGCTCGAATGGCGCATACGTGTTTGCGTTCATGGTCGCGGATGAGGAGGTCGAACTATACTATTTCTGTGTAAAGTTCCAGAGGCAGATCTCTGAAGTGTTTCTTTTGGTAAAATAAACTTTATTGCCTATCACCCGACCTGTGTGCATTCAATCTATTGCGAACCTGCACGCACGCAACAATACCAATTTACATGCATGATTTAAAGAAAAATTTGATTTGTTAGAAAGCGCTATAGGAGCGAATCGCTGTAGAACGAAGCACATTAAAAGGAGGTAGATACACTTAAAGGCCAGTAGCCTGAATATTTGATATTTCATCCAATTATATTTTAATATAGGATCGGAACTTGATGAAAACTGACGTAGTCTTCGAAAGGAATAAATGATACTTGTTAATGTTTATAGTAAGTATCATTTGATGGGATAATGAGATAAAGTGAAATATGTTAAAATAACGAAGATTTTAACGCTTTTAGTGCATATTATTCCTATAATTTATATTTGCAAGTAGTAGCTTCTATCTGAAAATGTTTCAATTTTCATGTCGTTTAGCATTTTAAGAGCAGCGTTTCGAACTTCAAAGTTGTATGAGAACAACGGTTATGCCACAAATGGAAAGGCTATAATACTATTTTCCTTTGCATTAACTGATTTTAAAAATGACAGGCTGATTGAAAGAAAATCCAAGATCTTGTAACTCGATAGGGATATGGAATCTCTTTTTCTAGAAGAAAAAACGAGTGTAAAAATAGAAAAGAATGTATTTATTTAAAACGGAGGATGAAAATTATTCTTAAAAGAAAAATTGATTAAAACTGTTATCATGCTTTTGCACTTTCACTTTACGGCTGGCGTGTAAATATTGACTTTGGAGCAGTGCTAAGATATGAAATTGGTTTTAATGCAGTAAAGTAAAATACTTTAAAAAAATCATTTTCCCTCTTCCTAGAAAGCTGTTAAGGAAAAAATACATTATTATCAGAAGCTTTATTTTATAAAAGTTAAAATAGACAGCATTTGTGTGGAAATCTAATTTTCCCGTGTACTTGAAAAAATAAATTAATCTAAAACTAAAATTATATCTAATCCATGGAAAAAATAAAGCATGAATGTTTTAAAAATTTTTCTCCGAATAAAATATTTAAATTAAGAAACAGAACCTATTTTTAAACACTTTCTGGCAATACAACTTTTATTTTAAATAAGAGACAAAAAATGTGAAATATGCATAATCCAATTTTTTTTCTGACAAGTCTTTTTTTCTGTAACTTCTGCAATTTAACTCGTTATATATGCATGTATATTTATGCGTGTGTATGCATGTATATTTATGTGCGTGTGTGTATACATGCATATTTATGTATGTATCTATGTATACAAACATAAAAAATTTATTTATTATTTTAAGGTTTACGATATTACCGTTTAGAGACACAAGATTTTGCATGCTAACACCGCATTTTGGCTTGCACTTTTGTTACTGCTTGATTGAATATTTTCAAAACAGAAGAGAACATGTCAAAGTGAAACTTAAAATTACCAAAGCAACAACTTTGTGTTTGGCGTAGATTTAATCAATCGATTTCGAGGGCAAACTGGTATAGGTCCCTCCTTATCAGAAACAAAGAATTCTCAAGACTTGGAGAGCAGCGACTGGAAGACTTTATTGTCGTAGGGTTTAACTACGGCCCTTGCACCCTCTGCTTTCTAGTTTTGCGGATTTCTTTGCTCCTAATGAAGAGGAAACTGTACCTGTTTGCCGTCGAAATCGCTTGAGATCTTGACTAAATCTATGCCAAACACAATATTGTTGCTTTGCTGATTTTATGGTTAATATTTTGCTTCGAGCTTTAAGAGATGCTTCATATTTATTTAGTTCCGTATTGCTTCGGAGATTGTGTTTCATTTTTAGGTAGCGACGCTTTTTCATTTTCGCAAATTTAATCTTTTACTGATCATTCATATTCTTCAGAATCTTTTTTTTTTTTTTTTTTTTAGTTATTTTGGTCTATTCTGGTGGCTTTCGTATTTACCTACAGATTTTTTTTTCCTGTTAATTTCATCTTATAAGAAGAAAGTCTTTGTTTTCTAGAACCGATGCCATTTCGACCGAGAAATGCGAACTGTTTTGTTACTTCATGAATGCCAACTTTAAAATACGTCCTGCATACTTTTTTCGAGTTTAAAGGTTGCGGAACGTTGCGAAACAATGTGAGACATCTATACTAAAAACACATTTAAGTTTTATATTAAAAACTACATCTATCTTTCCTATTTCGCAATCATGCTAAAAGACAAGTAGTATAACATTTTAGTAAACATAACAAGTCAATTCTTTCTTAACATAACAAGTCAATTCTTTCTTAGGTCAACAAAGAAAAATTTTATTTTAGTTACTTTTTATTAACTTTATTAACATGTTTTCATTTCTAATTTATGAAGTTGATGGTGGTCTATAATACATCTTGTAATGCTTCATTATTGCAAGGAACCTTTCCAGTGATTTTCGAGTAGTCCAGTTCTTCAATTAATATTCCATCTAATGATTTCACACGACTCAAGGTGACATGTGGTTGACTTGCTGTGAAAAGTTTTCCCAGGGGGCTTTTCTTGACGCTTACGTTTTTCTTTCTCGACTCGTCGCTTGCGTTGTGCTGTAGTTTCTTTTCGCTTTCATTTCGCATTCTCCGTTTGTGAAGCAAGGGTTTTTAAAGGGTTATATTTTAAACATATATTAGTGTCACGTTTAACGTAGAAATATGGGGAGAATTTTCGCTACCATAATGGGATATTACATCCGCTTCATCCCACTCTATAAAACTACAATTCTTTAATTCCATACACTTTAAAAATTTTTAGAACTCTGTCTCACTGTTGCCACTTATTTTTGTTAAATATTACGATCCCATTGATCACAGTCATGTACTATTATTTATAAGTTGTTATAAAATAAATTTTTTACAGGACGGGAGAATTCCTAATAAATGGTCATTATTTAAGTCTTATAGTATATTTAATAAAAACAGCATACCTTTAGTTCCGATAAACAGGAATTAATAAGTAGAAATTAACTTTAATATGTGAATAAACTGTATTAACATAAAGTGTCATCCACTACAAGTTTAAAACAAATTATTTAAACTTGAGTGGATAAATAAAAAGTATTTTATTATCGATTGAAAATTTGAACAAGATATAGGGAGAGTGTGAGCTAATAGTAGAAATTTAATCAAATTAATTATGTAATAAATAACATGTAGCAACCGTCAATGCTTTGCTTTCAATACAATATTTTGTATTTTTTGTGTGCTAGAAGATAAAAAATCAAAGATGAATATTTCTTTTCAGCTCCTATAGCACCAGATAAAAGGCTGCTCCTATCTGTCAATTCATCTGCGGTCAACGTCAATTTAAACAGCTGGCACAATGGAGGCTGTCCAATTTGCTTTTTTGTGATCCAGTACAGACCAAGTGGACAGCAAGAATGGACACTAGTCAGTAATAATGTCATCCCGGAACAGCAGAATATTACGATAACTGATCTCAGCGCAGGGTTGTGGTATTCCCTGTTAATGACTGCCAGAAATGACGCTGGTTCAACAGATGCAGAATACGTCTTTGCCACATTAACTTTGTCTGGAGGTATATGTTTCACGATTATTCTCTCCAATGTATTTCACTTAAAATTTTTGAAACTTCATGATTATTCTCTTAAATGTATTTTACTTCAGGTTTTTTTTAAATAAATTGCATAACCAGTTTTTTATACTTAATAATTTTTATATAAAATTCAAACTTTTTACACAGTAATTTACTATTAATTTTGGGAGTCAATTATATTTAAATAATGAAAATGGAATTTTTTAAAAATTTTTATATTAAAATTCCGGTTTCTGTCAAGAATTATAAAACAACCTCATGACAAAATTCGCCTTAGAATCAATGGGAAAATTATTTCTAAGCTTCTGCCATTTTACACTCAGATGTTTGTTTGCATTACCATTTCAAAAAAAATACCTCATAAACCTGAAATATATACAAAACGTTTCTTGTATAGTTTCATCAAATATAGAAATGCGTAACAGTAAATCTAAGTTATCAACATGCCCATCTATATATGTATATATGTATTAATTTTAAGGAAGTATGTGCTTACAAAATGTTAAGCTAATTTCTTATTCGATCAAGATTTCATAAATAGGCGATCGGCCTGCTTTCATAAATAGGCGGTGCATGATTTTTCTGATCTGGTTCATCAGAATTTCATGAAATTTTGAATGATTGTTTAAACACTGAATTAGTATACAGTTGTCAACTAGCATCCTTTTGACATAAGAACTTTTAGAATTACCTAGCATCCAAAAAAGTTCTTGACCCAACTTTCAGTGGGAAATAATGACCCGTTTCGTGCTAACGCATTTTGATCAGCAAAATAATTAATTCCTTTCAGTTTCAATTGCGTATTCCAAACGAGTTCCTAGCTTATAAATTCTGCATTTGTAAAAGTTCCTGTCGCTAGAGCCAAAGAACGTCTATGTAAAGAAGGAAAGGCTCCATAGACGTAACGTAAACCAGTTTGTCTTCTACGCCGCTAGAAAGAAGACACTGGCTGTTGAAATTGCATTATCCATATCGCAGTTTGATGTCTGATTTTATATCCGTCAGTATGGAGGGAACAAATGGAGTTACACAGCTTTAAACTCTTCATAAACGTGACCGTCGAACCTGCTCGAACTTCGACATCAGCTTCGAGCTTTGGCGCTTTTTGGCGACAGATATTTGACGCAAGCGCAGCTGTTTCCCTTTTCGTTCGAAGGGAGCCACTGCTGCTGCTGCGAAGCTTTCTTTCTTAACAACACATATTCTTTGGCTAGAGCCTAACACATTTCCCATGGCCTGCGTGACATCATCTTGGTTTTGGAAAAGTTGCGCCAGCAGATGGTTATACATAACCCAAAATAGATGATAGTAGGATAAGCATGTCCGGAGAGTAAGAAGGATGAGGTAAAATTTCCCAGCCAGTTGTACTGAACACCCCTTTAATCGCTTTCGTTATATGAAATCTGGCATTGCCTTGATGAATCTTCACTCCTTCTCTGTTGACGAGTGCCAGCTCGGCTACTTCCGAGCCAGTGGAGCTGCAACCCTTTGCAACATGGACAAGTATACCTCGGCTATCATAGTTTTGCCACTCTGTATTAGTCCTAAGTTCACAGTACTAGAGTTGGTCCACTAAACACAGAACTGTACCTTTTGCTGAAGAATATTTTGTTTGGGGTCAAATGTCATAGAACTTTCATTAGCGATTACAGTATAACATCCATTTCTCGTCAAATGTCAGTATCTGGTCCTGGAGTGTTCTTGTCGCGTGACGACAATGAAGGGTAGACACCCATTTCTACACCCTTCACCAAACTCTTATCTTCAGATGCAAATCGACTGAACCATTTTCTTTTTGCAAGCTTATTCACTAATGCCTCTCCAAACGAGGAGCATATTTTTTATCAGCAGTGCAGGAAAATTTGAACTCATAAAGTAAATATATTCATAAAACATCCTATGAAATTGACATGCTCACTTCAGGATTGTAGTTCCCACGGAACTGCCATAGACACCACAGACACATCTGACAACTCTGGAATGTCAACGTTTAATATCCTCCTGAAGGGGTTGATGACACCTGCGTTAGAATTTCACTTTTTACTCCAGCAGCACGAAATTCCAGCCAGTCTCGTCGAGTCGATCCATCTATATCTACCTAATCTACCATGAATATATATTATTTTTGCGCATTAATTGCAATTCACGGTATTAAATATTCAAGGCAGTAGATTTATACAGAAATATTGATAAATTTTTAAGTGAGCATAAGTGAGCATTAGACGATAGTAAAGCATCAGCTAATGAACACACGAGCATGGTTCCGAGAATGAAATCACGAAAATATTCTATACTTAAATTTTGGGTTTACAATTTCTGAACTACCCGTAAATGAAGAATTAAGGACCCTATATGTAAATTTGCTCAAACAAACGTACGGCAGCAGATAACGTGTAACCTAATAAACTTAAAGGACATTTTGAAACACCTCATAGTGAGAACATTAATGAGCCACCAGAATTCTTCGAATTAAATTTCAAGTCATATGAACAGCAAAATTATTTTTAAAAAAAATGCTTTGTCTATGAATGGAAAAAAACTTGACTTGGCCCTCAACTGGAAAATGATAAAAGTAAATATTTGTCAATAAATAAAATAAAATGTTTTCATCACTGAATAAAAAATTAATGTTTTAAATCCAAAGAAAAATACATTATAATGAATAGTTGCTATAAGAAAAATTGATTTTATATACTTTCATAAGTTGGGACTTTTTTATGTGATTCCTTTTTTCTCGTTGTTATAGAATAGTCGCTACAGTGAATTACTATCATAGCCATTACTGAATCTATCAAAGTTCCAAATTACAGAAAAAAAAATTTTTTTTTCCTTCAAAATTCTTTTTAATTCTATATTTTAAATACTAAGAGGAAGAATAGCACATACACATACACAGCAGTATGTCTTGAAAAAGGGCCTCTTTAAAAGAAGTGCACTTTTTCTCGCGTTTTTAACGAATATAAATAATACCAAAGTCTTTGTTTCTTGCAGAATATCCTCCAAGACCATCGAAAGTAAGTGATATGAGTGGTTCCTTCTACAGACACTTGACAATCACTGTCCCTGTAGTCAGTTCCATCATTGTTCTCTTGGTCGTCTCTTGTGCTGTGTGCTTCATCACTCGACGTCGTACTTCAGGCTCTACACAAAGGACTTCATGTGGTGAGGAACTGTTCTTTCACAACAAAAAATGAATAAAAGCTCCTTGCTAGTAATATCTAAAAATGCTGCTACTTTATTGCTTTGATAAACGACGCTGGAAAGATACATTAAATATTTATTTGACTATCTACGAGTAACCTGCAAATTAGGATTTTTAGATCTTTTTCTCTTTAAATATTTAATACCATGTCGTGCAAAGTATCTATGTTTCATGATTGCTATTAAGGTAAAACCTAAACAATAAGTGAAATTATGCATGTTAGACTTTTATATACAGCAGTCTAATAAAAGACAATATAAAAGGACGTAAATGTGTTTTCAAGATAAAAATATGAAGAAAATATTGTTTTGCAGACAACTAGCAAAGTCCGTGCAATTAAATTTTAGCATTGACTTTGGAGAAATGAACCACTTGTAAATACCTTAAACTTAATGTTTAAATATTAATTTTTTACTATTAATTTTTATTTGCTTTAAAAAGTATATTTGCATTTGAATTGATTATTATTTGAAAAAAAAAATTAACAGTTTTTTGGAATTTTCGAATATTTGTTTTTTCTTAACGAAATATTTTAAGTATGCTAAATAGAACTGTAAATATAACATTAAATACATTAAAAAAATGTGCGTCTTACCACAGGTCGCTATTACCGTAATAGAAAACCGCCCGTGGCTTTAGAGAAGCGCTTTTAATATTTTCATTTCTAAAACACACTTTATTGGATTGGCAAGAAAGTAACTTCGGTTTGCACAAATAGGTAGTGTTATATCACTTTTTTATTCTTCTGTCAATCTTATATATTTTTTTCTTTTGTGATTTGGCAGCTGACACTTTTATATTGCTATGGAAACAAATTCTGTATATTTTAATTTACAACCGTTAATTTACCCTCATAGGGTGCAAACGTAAACTTATCAGGAATGCTATTCCCTCTGATTGCCTTTGGAAACATCTAGTAACCCTGAATGGGAACAGGGAGCTTACTCAAGCTATGCTCGTGTGTGCGTGGAAGAGACAACACAAATACGAAGGGTTAACTTTACATTTATATCTTACAGAGTACAGGCGCTTCCACACTTCGGGATACAGAGACCAATATTTTTAGTCTAAAACCTTGAAAATAAGAAATATTCAAATAACTAAATAAGAATTAAACTTAAATTCTGCACAGAAACTATTAACACGAAGATTGCCCTTTTGACACTACGCATGTAGAGAGCGAAATACAAATAATATTACGTTTCGTATATCAGCAATAATTAAGTTCTCACGCGCGTGGCAGGGCAGCAGGAAAGCTCTTCACCTCTATAGGATAGAAATTACTTCTTAGATACCTAGTATACAGTTTGCAACCTCATTAGCTTATACAATTCCTACTTGCGCTTATTCTAGCCGGAAATGGATAATAAGAGAGGATAAGGCAAGATAGCGGCTGAGGCTGACAAACAAATATGTGAAATTTATGTTGTTGATTACTTAACACAATGTAAGCTTCAAAATTGGTCTAAAGTATTTCATTCTGGAGATGTTTCACTTCAAGTCCATCAGCGTTCTGGTCGATCGTCTGAAGTTGACGATGACAGATTTAAAACTCTAATTGAACTGAATCGTCATATAACTTTGTGAGGGGTTGTAAAAGGTTCAATGCATGACACAAAGCAATTCGAAATCATATAAGATGTATTGTACACGTTAGGTAGCTCGATATTTGGGTCCGCATGAATTCAAATAAATTTACTTAACAGAACGAATCATTTGCGATACGCATTTCAAGCATAACATATTCGACCTTTTTTAGAAATGAATTATCGCTGGCGATAAAAAATTGATCGTCTGAAATAACATTCATCGAAAAAGATCATGGTCCAAACATGATGAATCAGCACAAATTATATCGAAAACTAAATTGCATCAGAAAAATACCATGCTGTTAGTTTTGTGGGATTACAAAAGTGCGGTGTATTTTGAGCTTCTTCCAAACGACCATATGTTTAACTCAAATGTTTATTGCCAACAACTTATAAAAATGTAGGAACCAATCACAGTAAAAAGACTAGAATTTGCAAATACCAGATTAAGTACTCCACGACTTTGCGAGGCCTCACAAATCTATAGCAACATATACGAAATTATTGGAGTCTAGTTTGGAAAGTTTCGCATCTCCCATATAGACCCTACCTTGCATCATCGGGTTATCATTTATCTCGAAGTTTGCAAAACTCCTTAAATCAGCGGTTCTCAGCCTTTTGACTAACGCGTACCATCTAAACCAAATATGTAAACTTTTAGTACCACCACTACATTTTACAATGATTTTTTTTTAATTTATGAATAGAAATATTTAAAAAGAAATATATTTTGCCATTTGCACAACCTATTGGCTATATTAAATATGCACACATAAAAATATTAGATTAAAACTTGGTTACCATTTTAATTATCAAAATTTAAGTTATAATACTTTAATTCTAAAACTGAGTGTGAAATTTGGTCTTGTTTAAGGGAGATCAATTTCTTTATGTCTGGTCCTATTTCACTTAACTTTACCCGTAAATTAGGTTCCAATTTTAATTTTGTTCTGTATTTCTTTTTCAAGTAAAACGTGGAAGAAAATATGTGTTCACACAAATAGGTTCTGCAAAAAGGCAATAAAAATTTAACAGCTCTGTTTGAAACACTTCTAAATTCTTTTTTTAGTTCCAAAAGTTAATAAGTATGTTATTTTTGAAATCTTCAGTTAGAGTTCGATAGCAGGAAATTTCTATCAGTTGTTCTTTTTCTTCACGAGATTTTTTAATTTAATAGTTGAAAATACTTTGCTTCTTTGTTTACCACCTGTTTTTCTCTTGCGTACCACCTGTTTTTCTCTTGCGTACCACCGGTTGAGAACCGCTGCCTTAAGTGACAGAAATTTCGGTAATAGCGATGATATCAAATTGCAAATGGTTGAGTTTTTTTGTTGATAAAGAACAAACGTTCTATGAGGGCGGAAGTTCCCAGAGAGATGGCAAAAGGTTATCGAACAGCATGGAAGAGATCTGACTGATTCAAATTAATTTTTTATAGGAAAAAAGAAAGAAATTTTCATAGAAAGCTATGTTCCACAGTAAAATACCAAAATTCGTTTCTTGCCAATCCGATACTTTCCTCCCTGTTTTCTTTGCTTTTAAAAAGTGTTTTTGGACCACATATTTTTTAAAAGCATTTTGAATATCAAGCATGATGAAACATCAGGGGAAAAAGGTTTAAGCTACAAACATTAAGGAAACACCATTCTCCAAATATAAGTTTCAAGTAAAATACATAACTACTTATACTATGATATGTTTTTGGAAAAGAGAATTGTGAGCAGCGCAATATTTTCCGCGTAAGGAAATTTTATTTATTATTGCATGCAATAGTGCACTGAGTAAAAAGAAAGTAAAAATCTTATCGATTTGGTATTTATTAATTCCAGACAACAAGTCACAGAGTCAAATTATGATTGATTATAATGAAATTATGATATGAATTATATTAAAAATTATAATTTTATTATAATAATCTGTAATTTTACTTCTTTCTTAAAAATCACTTACTATGGTTAAGAGCTTTAAGAATCATTTTGTGCTGTCAGGTGTTTTTATTATGTCATTGTGTAATTTAAGTTATTTTAATATAGTTATTGATTGTGATTATGAGTTTCGTCCATGCGCAAAGATTTAATTTTAAAATAAATAATGTTCGTAATTATCTGGAATTAACATTATATAATTTTCCTAACAAACTGCAAAAGGATGCGCATTCCACTGAGTACTAAGTCAATTTCTAGAAATTTCCACTAACTGTTAATTTTTTTTATTATTGTTACTTAAAAGAAAAGCATAACACTGAATTAAATGGAATTATAACGCAACATGTAATATTTCAGTTTTTATTACTAATTTTACAAAACAATGTGCATGAAATCGTACATTGAACAAAACTGAATAAAATTAAGATTTACAGAATTCAGCCTGCCAGAAGCATGTGTGCTAAAGTGCTAAAGCTTGGAAATCTTTGGATAAAATATCCTGGGTTTGATTCAAATTTGGCCGAGAAATTTGATTGCATAGTTGTTTTCAAAACGTTCCCTCTATATACCGTATTTGCCGGCGTATAAGGCGCACTGGGATATAAGAGGCACCCCGTTTTTTATACACATTTTTGGAAGATAAAACTTTGTTACTGATCATTATAACGGATTTATAGTATTTTAAATATAAAGTAATACGAATACAAAGTAATACTTTCTGCAAATACCCAATCTATATGGGAAAGAACACCTTTTAATTCTCTTCGTCAAAACCCAGACACTCATCTCCAGATCTGAATGAAGAGTCACTTGAAACCTCTTCTAAATTAGCATCTGACTCATTATACAATAAATTGCCTTCTGTACCATCCATTTCATTACTATATCTTCCTGGATTCGCCAAGTTCTTGTCATTTTCTAAGTTGGGGTGGCCCGAAATGCCTCTCTGCAGTCCTATTTCCATGTTCTTTAGCATACGCAATCACACGTAGCTTGTATGCTATGTTATAGCAATGCCGACTTATTTTTGAGCCATAACTTTAATATAATAACTTTCCAACAAATTTAAGAAAATTGAACTGAACTGAATTTTCACACGCTTAAAAAGATGGAAACAAAAAATCACAAAATGTTCATAAAAAAATGGAAAGTTAAATGAACCCAGCTGTGATAGTCGATGACAGCGCATGCTCATTCACTGAGCACTACGTAACTGTAATATTCCCACATTCCACAAAGAAACAAAACCAAATGTCGCATAGCGCCGAATAAGTTGAGAATCGACGTATAAGACGTAACCCGTTTTTCAGACGTATTTGCAAAGAAAGAAAGTGCGTCTTATACATCGGCTAATACGGTAATATCAATTCGTCGAAGAAAGTTGCTTACTATAGCATCTCTTCTTAAGTCTGCTTCTGAGTTTCATTTCTGTAAGGCTGATTCCATTAAGTTTTTGTTATCCAGGTAATATAACTGTGTGTCGGCTATAGGCTGAAATTCACAGCCCTTATTAACTGACCAGGCCATTCCAGTAAACTAAATGAACAATTCTATTAATCAAATGATTGTGGAACGAAGCCGCATACAACAATTTGATTCTGTGATATCATTCAAATTCCCGTCTTTAATTTTTATTTAAGAGGGCTTTAAGATCTGAAATAGTATATAAAAATAGAAATTGGTTATTATATTTATTCTATTATTTATTTAATGCAAAATTTTACAATAAAATCTAGTGGCTGAATTTCTCTAAATAAACTTTTAAATAACTTCATATAAAATACATACCTAGTTATATATTTAATTTCACATTTGATTTTATGTACATATGAATGTGGCACCAAGGAATGATTCTTTAATACTGATTTCATATTTTAAATGCAAATAGTGCGGATGCTCATCGTTAACTGCAACTGCAATCTATCAGGGAATTCTGCTACTTCTAAGAATGTTGCTCCTTATTTGTGCTCTAGACGACAGACATTTAAAGTTGCTTCAGAGTGACATCATTATGTAGTGTACAGTTAAATTAAGTACTTTGGGCAAGACTCCTAGTCTAGATTCCCGAGGCTATTCGAATGTTTGGATGGCATCTCATAATGTAAAGTGATGATGCTTTGTGACTGCAACTCCTAAACGGCTATTTATAGCTCTGGAATGCCATATAAACAATTCAGCTAGAAAGTCTTTTGGTAAATAGAAAATGGCTCATGTTCAAAGCAGTTCATTGTAAAGGCGCGCTCGAGAATATTTTAATAAGACATGCGTATTGAAAGACACAGATATCATCAAAAGCTATTAATAAAAAATAGCTATTTACAACGTTATTAATGCAGGAAAATATTCGAGTATCATTTCCTTATGACACTGAATAATATTAATATTTCTGATTGTAATTTAACTTAAGCATTTAAATTTAAGCAATTTGTACATCAGTATGATTAAATTTTGGTTCTTGATTTTTCTTTTTCTTCGTATTTTTGAGTTTGATATATCAATGAAAGCAGCAGTTGTTCTGTACTCTGAGGCATAGCAGCCCAGACGGTATAATGGTTAGGGGAGCTAGACTACGATACCGAAGGGCACGGGTTCGAATCCCGGAGAAGGCATGGATGTAAATTGTCTGTCCCTTCATAGGAGGCTATTAGGCACCTCCATAATAATATTGACCACCACATCTGGCCTTAGGAGTGACCAATGCCGGCATAGGCGAGCGCCCGCCATTAGGAAAAAAAATATTCTAAGGCATTAAGTTTGTAAACTGTCATAAAAACTATCTATCCTGTTTCATGTGACAGTTTATAATGCAATATTTTTTAATAATTTTAAAAACTTTTTCTCAGCTCAAGATGTTGGTATTTCGTAGTACATATTATGCCATAATTCGTTTCTCTAATCTGAAAATCGCTGTCATAAGCTTCCCATTCTCCATTGTATAAAAATTATTTTCAAGTCAGCTTTAAAATCGTTTGCATGGAAACTTAGGAGAAAATCATTTCCTACGAAAATTCATTATTGTTGCAAATTTAGCTTCGATTTTTTTTTTTTTTTTTTTTTTTTTGCACAAATTGTATTGTTCTCCCAATTGCTTGTATACTATTTAGCAGAGAGCTTTCCAATACTTTACTAAAATTACTAAATTTACTAAATTTCCAATACTTTACTAAATTTTTCCATGCTTTTTGATTACAATGACTTTTTTTCATTTATTTGATGCGCAAGAACTTTTACGGTTACATAATCTTTAAGTGCTCTCCAAAGTAATAAATTATGTTAACGATTTAGATTACAGTATAGTTATTTCCCTAAAGATTTGGTATTTATTTTCTCCCCTGTACAACGTAAAGGAAGTATTGTAATCCTGAAAAATTTCTCGTATTTATTTCAACGAAAATATTCATTTCAACTGTTGTCGAAACCATTTGAACAATGTATCTGCGTAACGTCTGTACGTACGGACAGAATAAAAGACTGTTTTTTCCAAAAAGAGTTTTAAATTTTCTTAAAATGGATCCAAAAGAGAATTTTTCTTGACGTCTGTACATACGAACGTAGTAAGTATGTATGTATCTCGCATAACTCAAGAACTGGTAGCCTCAGAACGTTGAAATTGTGTACGTTGGACTGCTATAACATTTAATTTTGCACCTCCCTTTTTCGTTGCAATCGGCTGCATCAAACTTATATATACGTATATATATATATATATTCCCACTCTGTAACATGGCTCCGTGACCTTACTTTTCTTTAATTCTTTTGTGTTGGTAAATTGCGCGGGTTTTTTTTTTTTTTTCTTAAATAAATTGAATTAAGTGCTTTTTATGTTCCCGGTTAAGATTCTATGCCTTTTGTTAATCTGCCTGCAATAGCTGTAGAATTATCAACAACCTAAAAGTGGCAAGTTAAGCCTAACGAATCGCCGTAAACGGCAAGTCCGTAGGCTTAACAATTGGTACAACGGTAACATATTGTTACGGTGAAACATATACACAAATTTATGCCTTTTCAAGACCTACAGAATTTTTTTAATATTAACATCCGTTTGCAGTTTTAAAACGTTTTCTGAAATGCTGACACTAAAAATGGTATTTTTGTTCTGTAAATTTCTTTGAGGAAACTATTAATGTATTTTAAATCCGCAATTTGAAATACTTTATAATTTCCACGTACTATTTTTATTAACTGACTCTAAAATGCAGTCAAACCTCAATATACGAATTTAATTCGTTCCTGAAGTCCGTTAGTCATCCTAAATATTCATAAACTGGAACTGTTTTTCCCCATAGGAATTGACGTAGAATGGGTTAATCCATTCCTGTCCCAAGGCTAATTGCTTATTTGAACTTCACTATAGTACCCTGTGTACAACTACATAACACAAAACCAGTTATTAAACTGGAAATTATTAAACTGGTAAAATCGACTAATTTATATTTTTGCCTTGTCGCGAAGTGAGAACTAAATTAATTGAATAAGAAATACTGAATCGTCTGTGAAAAACTGTTTCTTTTTTGTTGTTGTTGTTGTTCTTTGCTTAATTTCTTTTATACATCGTTTTAGATTTATTATAGTATTTGAACAGAACATGTGGCAACGATTAAATAATTCTTAAGATGATATAAATTTTGTGCATTCTGAGTTAAATGAACGAAATATAACGCTGTTAAGTGAACCTAGGACCAGAGTGTCGCTATGGTAAACAAATATAGTGAATTTTAAAGAGTGCATTTATTCTATTGTGGTTATGCGCTATCGAAGAAGTAGATTTAACCCAATCCAATAAGTTTAAATGAAATGCAAGAAGAAATGGGTATAATTTAATATTCCGTACGAGGTCATGTTGTGCACACATCAGATTTTTCCTGAAAGTTAAGCAATGCAATTAAAATGATTTTTCAGAAGTCTCTCACTGTTACGTCTGTCTCAGAGATTACCTAAAACACCTTTAAAAATCGTTGCGTACTTGAGTGTTCGTAACTTCAAACACCATCCATCATCTGTGGCTTGATTTTGGGTTCAAATAATTTTTTCAGGATAAGGCATTCGTGTTTCTATGTTCCCTTGTATATGAATAAATGTGGATTTAAATGAAAATTATCTTTTCATATCATTTGGGCTAAATGGGCTTAGGCTTAGAGAATAACTTTAAATGTTTCTTTATACAGCTGGAATTCGTAAAGGGCTTTCTTTATTCTCCGATTACTCTCATTTAACATCATGAAATCATTTCTACCATGGAATTAAAATTTACAGTGTAATCCTCGTGTTAAATCCTGTGTAAAGCGATGAAGAAAGTGTATTTTGCTCGATTCGATTTGACACATCAGTCTGAACCTTAAAGACGATTGAATGTGGAATATACGCATCTAAGTGTTACACTATTTAGCTCTCAAACGGGAAATTAGTATTAGATATCATATTAAAGACACTATTCCTTACAATATTTTAATGAATATGAAATCCTTATATACTAAAAATTAATGAGTATGTCTTTCAGCCGACACGGATGGCAGAGATCCCATAAAAGCAGAAAATGTCCCTCTGTCTGTTACATACGATGCTGGACAAGACCCTGCATACCTTCCTGCTCCATATGCTACAAGCAGAGTAACAGGTTACAGCAGAGAACACTGTATTCTTCCTGGATCAGGGAATGAGCAGAATGTTGGAACATTTGGCAGCACCCGAAGTGGTTACACGTACAATGTGCCGCATCCACCGAGACGAGTAAGATGCATCTTAATATTTAATTTCTGTGTTTTCTGGTTTTACCTGTCTATTAAACTAATAACTAAAATTTCAAAACCAGTATTATTTCATTGTACAATTTAATATTAAGTTTCTGAAGATTGTTGTTGTACAAGTAATATTGTTTACAGGATTTATTTTACGATCATAAGTTTCACAATCCTAGCTGGTAATTTAAAGATATCGAGTTTTCTTTTAAGGGGCTCCCAAAAGTGTAGTGAATTTGTAGAAAAAGCGCTGTAGCCCGGATTTGAATTCGAATATAAAGCCCAGTTATTTTTTCGTATCATTTCCATGCGATTTCGAATGAAACTAAACTTTTTCTTAATACTTACTTGTTTTGTTTTTATTTTAAATTGAAAAATGTAAGGAGTTATAAATAAAACACGCCACAAAAGTAATCGTAACATTTTCATAAAATTTCATAAATAAAACTTTCGTCTGCTGATTTTTTTTATTTTTGCATTTTGATGACATTTAAAAATTCGCTTGGCTTTATTCTTTGCTTGCTTACTTCTTTATTGTCCATTAAATATTTTAAAATGGGTCGTAGTCATTAAGGAAACAACAAACATCATTCGAAAATTGATCATTTTTCATCATAAGGGTGGAAAATTGATACGGAATATAACTAAATTAGTAAATTTACCCCATTCTACGTTGAAGTGACAAAACGCTTTAAAGGAGAAAATCGGATCGAAATTAAAGAAAAAAGAGGTCGACCGGCAAAGTTAACTCAACGTGATGAGAGATGTATTGTTCAAATTTATGGAAAATCCACGTTTAAGTGCTGTAAAGATTTCTGCAGAATTTATTGAAAATTTTTCTACTTCAATTTCACCTTAAATTTTTCGACGAGTACTGAGATCAGCTGAATTACATGGGCACTCTTCTCCAAGAAAATATTTTGTAAATGCAAAAAATAGAACGCTTATTTTTTCTTTCGCAAAATAAATAGTAAATAAGCCCGAAGCATACTGGAACCATGTCTTTTTTATCAGATGAAATGAAATTATAAATTTTTGTTTCCGACGGGCATATAATTGCATGGAGAAGTAAAATGAAGAACTTTGTAGGGTTTATATTTATTTTAACTAACATTTATTTTAAGTTTAAACTATCTTTCCTGTCAAGCCTTACTTTCCCCTGGAACTGCCAATGCCAGAATATGTAAATTTGAGTAGAACGCGCAAGCATTCAAATTATCAGCGGAAGTATTATGATTTAAATAGAAGGAAACGAGTTCGGTATGAGATATTCTTACTGCACGAGCGCGGAGGTAGTTAGCGAGAATTGAAGAACCCCGCGTTGCGGCCTATGTGCTTGGCGGGAAGTAGTGGTAATCGTTCCAGTGAGCTTCAAGTCTGCTGAATTAGCAGCGGTACTGTAAAACGCGGTGAGTTAGTTATTTTAGAGAGCCTCGTAGTTAGAATCTTATCTTTACTTTCTTTTCAGGTTATTATTTTTATTTGACTGCCAAGTTGGCACCGTCTGTAAGCGTCAAGAGAACGCAATTGTAATTTATTACGTGAATAAAAAGGGACTTAAACCCTTCACAAGGCTCTATCTTTTATACAAGTTTTCACAGTCACCTCTTGGTTGCGTGCAAGTTGGAGGCGCGCAACGTTATAACTTAATCCCAAGAACTTAATTGGAACAGCAAAGCATGGCATTGGATATGTCCTTATTTGGGATGAATGTCAGCATCAGGATTAGCTAATTAGTGTTTATTGATGGAATGATGAACCATGTTCTTTATTTAAATACTTTAAAAGATAAATTTAAATTATCCGCCCAAAATTTGGGTTTTGGAAACAACTTTATTTTTTATCAGGATAATGACCCCAAGTACACAGCCCTCAACGTTCGTCTTTTGTGTGTTTATAATTGTTCACAAGTTCTGAAAAGGCCACCTCGGTCACTAGATTAAAAACTCGATAAAACGCATTTGAAGAGAGTTAATGGTTAGAATACGAAGACACAATATAAAAACGAAAAACAAACTAAAAACAGGAATGATCGAAGAAAAGCCGAACATTGATGCAGATATTACAAAAAAAAATGGTGAACTTCTATGTCAGGACGTTTGAAAGCTTTCATAAATGCATTAAAATACCGACAAACTAACAGAATAAATGCTGCAATATTTACTAATACGTGCAGATTTCTTTAAAGTTTACGAAGACTTTTTTGAAGTCAATTTTCTGTTACTTTTTTATTATTGATTTCTGTCCCGTCAAAAAAAGAAAAAAAAAACTTTAACTTTGTTCATAATAGCTAATGTATTTTTGATAAGAGAAATTTATAAATATTATTAAAAATTCTCATTCTCAAACCTTAATTTTTATTAATGAATAAAGCAATATTTCACTCAAAGTCGCAAGTGTATGAACACTTTTGGAAGCCACTGTATATCATAGACAGCCTGAAGTAGACAGTAAAAATAAATCCGTGCTGAAAAACGAAAGTACGTGTAAACGGAAACAATTAGATTGCAGAGATATTAGATTATTTTGAAGCAGGAGGCACGAAAAATGAGCCATGCCCTTCCCGGGACTCGAACCTGGACCTCTCGAATACGCATGGAGTGTACTACCGTTACACTACGAAGGCATATAGAAAGGGGGGAGATATTACTTTAGAAGATGAAAGCTGCGTATTGCTTGCAAAAGCAGAATGTTTTATTAAAATTAAATGTATTATGAAAGGATTGATTTATTATGAAAGGGCACACATTCCCCAAAATATTCAAGGCAGAAATTGGCAGCATTTCTCAATATTCACCGCATAGCTGCTACCAATTTTGGCTAATATAGATATGTATATTGTGAAAGGCATAGATTTTAAATTCTAATAATGAGTTTTAAAATATAAAAATGCTCTGCCTATATTATTAATGCTACATATCATTATATTTGTTTATACAAGCCAGTTATCCTTAGAATGTCTTCCATGAAGTCATGTCTCTAAGTAAGCAAATGTTTGTTTAACTGATTACTGCATAGCATTTGTATGCTTTTCTATAATAAATTAAAGAAAAGAACTAGTTTAATTTTCTTAAATTTTAATCGTATTTTTCTTTTAACACCTATCAGGGTGTCATATTTCATACTTTCTCAAATTCATTATCTTTACATTAAGTATTATTTAAATATATGGAATAATATAAATAAGACAGAAGAGTAATTTATAAAAGTGTTCCTTGCATGATAATCTAATAAATTTTACTGCTTTTTAAACATTCCCTCCCAATTTCTCCTATTAATATGATTGATTACTACAACCGACTTGACATTTTAATCTGCCAATCGATGTTGATAATAACGATGCTATGCTTGTCACCAACTTCAATAAACGAACTCTGCTTTTGTGCCGCATCGGACAAAAAGAACCTCATTAGCGTAATTTCGATAAAATCAAAGTTGTAGTACAAAAAGGGGACACTAATTTATAGCATAGATAAATGACAATAAACAACACTGCGATCGATATCTTCCAAAAATCAATGCTGTCAGAAGCAGGAAAGAGGCAAAAACGAAAAAATATGAGTGGAAATTTGTCGGCGTACTCCATTAAACTTAATCAGCAAAGTGATGCAAAATTTATCTTAACGTCGGAGGAGTACGACACACATAATACCGGAGGGATTTGCCTCTCATTGTGGAAACGAGCGACAGATTTCTGTTGGTAATTACCCAACCTATCCACGAAGGAATTCGTGAATTATTGAGCATCTAGGTGACTTGAAACGGACTAATTTATAGTGGCCCTCGCGGGAGCGTGTTGAGTAATCTAGAAAGAATTATTGCGCAAGGAAATCTTTGGCTCTGTTTGATACCAAGTCTCCATTCCAGGCAACAGGAACATTTTTGAGGTTAGCTTCACATTTCCAATTTTTACAAAACATGAAAATGGGCTTAGAATATCTTAAGTACCTGAAATCTCTCTTGTTCAAAGGTTTAAGAACAGAAAGAATTCTTAATGTATATTTAATTGAATAAACCATTTTAACAAATTTCTCAATCCCTGAAATGTAATTATCCTGAAGATTGCCTAATTTAACTTTCGATCACGTATGGTAATGATGTAATAATCCATTCATTTATGCGGCGAAGAAAGATTGCAAAATTCTTAAAACATTTTCCAATTTAACTTTATTTCTTCATGTGTACATATATCCTTAGAAAATGTCTGTTAATTTAAAGCAGGGTATTTTAAACTGTGGGTCGCGACCCCTTTGGGGGTCGCGGGACCTGTAGCAGGGGGTCGTCAAAAATTTTAGCAGTTTTAATATTTCTTTAACTTATTATAATAATTTGACAATTAACAAATATTTTTACACAGTATATCTGAAAATATATAAAGATAAGACAATATAGACAAAGAAAAAAACGAAAACGTTTCGACGCATTCTTTTTATAGTATAAACGTTCATTTTCCTTGCTTTGCACGTGACGCTGTCATTTCGTCTGTCACTTATTTAAAATTTTCGCATTGTTCTATGTCTTGAAATTAGAAATTAAAGTTAATGACCTAAAACTGCAATAGTATATTACAGTGCAAGTGAAAAATTTGACAGTTTCACTCACGCGTGTGTCGGATTCGCGCAATACTTAAGGGGTTCTGGAAAAGTTTTATAAATATAATGGGGTCCGCTGGAGGTCGTGAAAAAATCTCAGTTATAAAAGGGGGTCGTGACTGAAAAAAGTTTAAGACACCCTGATTTAAAGTAATATCTACTTAAATTCTATATTAAAAAATCTCTTATTGATAATGTGGATATATTAGCCATATATGCTTCACGTTTGGAGTCTATCTGATATAGGAAATAATAGATATTTAATTATTAAACCCCTTTTTGCTCAGAGAAAAAGGATTTTCTTTTAAGCGAGATTTTATGATTATTACTGACACAGGTTACTTTCGTTTTAATGAGATGTATACAAATATTAATATGGGATTTTCTAATAAATAACAACTGACGATATGTTCACTTTACTATGATATATATAACTTTGAAATATAAAACATTAATTTTCCCGGTTTAGAATGTGAATAGATGTAAGGCTTCAGAAATTCATTCACATAATTTTGACTAAAGAACTATTTGAACTATGATGATATAATTCTATAAATGATATAATTCTATTTAAAAAACATATAATTCAAAAGATACTAAAAAAATCTGAAAGCTTTCATATTTTATTACGCCCAAAGAGGAGTTATCTGAGCGTTTGGTGTGTTACTTTTATTTATTAAATATCGTGTTCTTTGCACTTAAACTATAAAATTCAATTCAACAGCCATATCAAAAATAATTAAAAAAGAGCGTATCTTTAGAATTCCGATACACAGTCTCGCGCGCTGGAAATAATTTTTTTTTCGTACAGTGTTGCCATTGCTTGCTTTGAAATCGTTGAGTTTCATAATCCAAAATTCGTTAAAGTTTTACAAAATATGAAATTGATAAGAAACCAAATTCCAAATTTGAGCTTCCGGATGCCTATATTCAGTGGAGGATTACGTTATTCATAATTTCATGTCTCTAGGTACCGTTGATTTTTCACAGAGCGAGAAATATGCATACATTCATGCAGGATTCGCTCTAATACTTAGTGGCAACAATTTTAAAAATTAAAAGCCGTTTATTGTGAAACAACGCAAAATGGCTAAACGAAATTTATACCGCTTCAAGGCAAATTGCCCCTTTGGGCTAATTCCATAAATTCTATAAATGTTATGATTCTGCAAATGATGGATTATATCAGTTATATAAATGATATAATTCTATAAATAATATATACCATATATTCTTTAAATGATATAATTCTATAGATGATATATTCTATAAATTCCATAAATGGTGTAATTCTATAAGTTCGGTAAATGATATAATTCTATAAGTATGTTCTGATCTTGCTTCTTTATTGTCAATATTATACAAATGTTAAAAATTTTGCTTTTCAATGATACAGTGATATAGTGTACTTAATTTGGTGTTAGAAGGAATTTCAGAATTTGTTAAATAGAAATTACGTTTCAGATGCGGAAGCTTTTCTTTTCTTTTAGTTCATAGTTAACTCTGTCAATCATACAAAAATATATGAACTGAAAAAGCTTTTTTAGGAATCGAGAAAATTTTATTTAGCTTCATACTCCATATTATGACAATGTTGTCTCAATGTCAATAAGTTCATTCCAAATAATGTAGAAAAATGCTGGGTTCTTCAAAGGTGGAGTTATTTGAAGTAATGATTATAAAAGTTTACCCAAATAATTTTCAAAATAATGACTTAAAATATTTATTTACGTATACAAAGCAATGCTTTCGTTAAAATTTTGAAGATAAAGATAAGATAAAACAAGATAAATTTTATAAAGTTGCCTTTTTTTTTTTTTTTTTTTTTTTTTTTTTTTTTGTAACCAGTTGCTTTCCTTTCATGATTTTATGTACTTAAACAGATAGCTCTTGTACGTTTTCCCTATTTCATATAACTCTTGTAGCTTTTAATATATTTTCGCCAAATGTGGGAAACGTTTAAAACTGAGTAACTTCTGCTAAAGCCTCAAACAAAGCGGATTTATTAAAAATGATTAAATGAATCTCATTATCAAACTTAAGTTACTAAGTTCTTATTCTAGTTCCAGTGCGTAATCAGAACTTCATACAAAGAATAACTTCTGCTTTGGAATAGGAATCTTTTGAGTTTAGAGGGGGCCTAAGTATCTTATAAAAATAAGTTTGGAAGTTCAATTTAAATTCATTTTTAATCTAAAACTAACTTCAAATAAAAGGCTTCAATGCATTTTGAAGAAAATTATCATAGATCCCCTTCTTTTCCTCAAAATATATTCAGAATTTTTATTCTAATCTGACGCCAAATAAAATCTGAACTTCTCTATTGATCAGATTTCAAACTGGTATTGTGTCTTTTCATTCCCAGCTATCAAAAAACAGTTTACCGCCTTATCTTTCCTGGTTTTTACTGAATAAACAAAAGTTGTTGGGGATGTGAAATCCAAACTCCCATTTTGAGAACTTTCTTTTCCATTCAGGAAGATCCCCGTATAGAAGCAGACTGAACAGATGGGCTCTTTCTTATGAGAAAAATAAAACGATAATTGTAAACACAGGCTGCATCGGTCCACAAAATTGTAGGAAGCCAATAATATTTTGACGCAGGTGCATATATATGTAACTGCTATGATGTAGCTGTTCGGCTGGAAAAACTGTTAAATAATTACGTCCTATGAACTCAGACCTGTTGAATATAACATCATTTTATGTAGTTGGACATTTGATTAAAGCCTCTGCGGTTCTTTCTCCACCATCTATTTTCACATGAGCTTTGGAGCGTTCTTTCTCATATGATGTCGCAAGCTCTTCCTAGAAATACTGTTCTTCATCCCCTCCGGAAACTGTTTTAAGTGGCGATACAATGGCAAAGCAGCGAAGAATGGATGCTTCCGCGTTATGTCGACAAATAAATTGCTTCATTGCTGAAGGTTGCTACAAAATCTAAATCTGCGCAGATATTCAATAGCAGTGGCATCGGGTAACCTTGAATTTCTTGCAAGTTCGTTCACAATTTTACATGAATGTGTTGTTTTTTACACTGTATCAATATCTTGTTGTCTTATCCATATTACGTGAAACGATGGTTGCCAGAACCTACTCCGAAGAGAGGTTGGACTTCTATTTCCCCTCCCCAATTTTGAGGGAGAGCACACGAGGAGATACGTGGATCACCCACTTCTCTCTCCTTCCACCAATCCACACGAGAGGACTTTCATCTCGCAGCGTGTTTGGAGTGCCGCCATTACGCACCGACACTACACATTTACAAACATCCATGACTTCTCAGGGATTCGAACCCGGGTAAAGTAACGTAGCAGGCTCCCCTAACCACTATACCGTCTGGGCGACAGCACTATCTTGTAAGGAATCGATTTAACGTTGATGTGGACTTCACAGAAGAGCTCGAATCGATGCCTTGCATTGTAAAAATCAACTCAGCTTTTTCTCTTACAATACATTCACTGGTGGCTATGCTAATCTGGACATAGGCGCACTGCACTTGGATCAAAACAGACAACCTCGGACTCAAAGGCAAATCTGACCTCATGCTTAATGAATGCGTATAACCAGAATGCACTTTTGTTTTATTCTATACTCTTCCTTTATATGTTCTTACAGCAGATATTTAGAAGCAATCTTGGTGAAGAGATTTTTTTTTAAGTTCTGAAAATGCCAGAACTTTCCAAGCAGTTTTAAAAAAGATATCTTATTATAACATTCCTTTATACTAAAGATATTTTCAGTGTAATTTCCGTTTTTAGCTATTTAATTTTTTAGCTATAAATATTTAATGTATTAACCTGTTTGTTTAGCATTAATTTGTACTTCAAAATTAGAATTGTGTTGTTCATGTTCTTTATTAAGTTATACTCAAATAATATGCTTTGCCATTTTTTTCCGCTAGTAATTTTATTATTCACATGTATGACAAAAAATTACAAAATTTAGAAACTAATTTTATCTTAGATTCCTAATATTAATGAAAGCCAGAAGAAAGTTTAAATTTTTACAACATACTTTATGCTTAGAAACTATGAAGATTTTATAATCAAGCTAAAACTCTCTCTTACAACATCATTTAGTTTCTGAGATTAAATATTTGATCTATTTTCATTTACGATTAAAATGCAGTATTTTACACGTGAAGAAACAGAAAATAGAATATCACATTTAATCATTATGATTTCTGCTAATTGAACTGCTTGAAATATTTTAGCGCAGTAGAAGTAAAACTTAATCTAAAGCCTGCAATAAAAATTTGAAATATCATCTTCATATTTATTATTCTTAATTATCATTCTAATGAGATTTGCAGGTATATGATATCTCTTCCTCCCTCCAAAATGTTAAAGATATAGGATTTCACCTTATTTAATTTTATGAAATATCACTACGTATTTATGTTTAGAAATGGTTTCCATTGTTCAAACCAATTTAAATAAAGGCACTTCAAAGCAATTAATGTTTTATAAAATGATTCTCATGTTATTTGTGTATTTTTAGAATGATATTCTATACAATTTATAATTATTTTAAGAGTTAGAGAAAATACATTCTTCTCAAATAATGGAATACTTCATGTGTACATAGAGAATGGAACAAAAATTTCCGTTTACCTTTAAACTAGAAAGAACTCAGCTTTATTTTTATCAACCGTATTTTCTTTCAGGTGGAAAAAAGTGACTGTATCTATGAATCCCCTACAATATACTTTCCTGGCTACCGTCATGCAGGTAAACATTCAATACTGTATTATTGTCTGGAATTGGAAAAATATAAGAATGCATACAAATAAGTAAAATATCTGTTTTGAAGAGAAAAAGGGTTTTCGTGAATAAATATAGTATCTGAAAGTACGTTTCTTAGCGTAAAAAAATTTTTATGAGAGTCGCGTATATAATAACTTTAAACCTTTAGACAAATAACGAGCACTTCAAATGCTCCAGTCTTTTCCATTGTCGATGGTTTGAATGTATTCGTTGAAGTATGGTGCAGTATGTTGGAGGAGAAATGGGAAGTCATTATTTCAAGTGTGCTATTGTTTACGGAATTTTATTTCCAAATGATGTTTCAAGCTAATTAAAATTCATACCAGTCTTTCATTTTTATTTATTCCTAAGCTGATGCACATATAAAATGAAATTATTTTATATAAAAATGAATTTGTGCTAAATAGTAAATAAATACTTAAGGTGTATTCTTCAGCTTCGTTTCAAATGATGCATACCTTGTACAGAAAAAAAAATGGAACAGTTCTTTATCTGGGGTTCTACTGGACCGATAGTCGAAATTTAACTTGGGCTTCCATTTCACGAAAGCGCGACTTAGGATATGTCTTAGATTTATATACAGCATTATTCTAACAAAGGTATTTTGAAACAAAATTGGACATTTTCTGAAATAACATACCAATTCTTTTTCCGTATTTCGATTCTATGACACATAATGCCTGAATATTAAATTTTGTAACTTTTGGTCAGAAATCAAAAAATTATCTTGGCGCATTTTTTTCCAGTTTGCGCCGAGAATAATTCACTTGCCGAACTTCTTAATTTATGTCAACCTTTTCTCCTTTTCTGTTTTTCATTGTACACGAGTGGGAAAACGGTCATCATTCGTACTTTCAAATAATTTTAACAAAGTGCGTAAACCACGTTTGGCGTTATTATTGCTTATTACAAATATACCAAATTTCAAAACATGCGAATATGTAAATTCACTTATATCTTAGGAAATTTTGAATAAAAAACACTAAGCTTTGTGGGCATGCTTAGAAATACATCTACTTTAAGATGATGGTAAAACATTTATAGGTTATAATACAAATTGTTTTTCGAAAAAGTTATAAAATTATTTAAAAACACAAATCTTAAAATTAAATCATAAAAAATGGGCGAATTTTATTTGGAATGAACCTAAATTTTGAAATATGAAAGGAATAATCAAGTAAGTTTAATAAAAATAGAGATACTAATTCAGAAGTCAAACAACAAAAATCAGCGTTAATTTACAAAATTTTCACAGGACTAGTTTCGATGGTTTACCGAACCATCATCTCAGCTGCAAACCGCAAATGAACAAGATAGGAAATAATGTTTAGATAAGATAAGAAAGCCTGGACAGAATAAGCAAGTTGGCGCCATCTGTTGGCGAAACCAGAACTAAAACATAATTTCTCTAAAAGCCGAAGGCAAATTTGGATTGGAATTAGGATCGTTAACTAGAACAGAAAGATTTTTTATGAATGTGAAATGCCCCTAAAAATCCAGTTCTCCAATGGAAGATGTTTTTTTTGAATAATTTTGACAGCAGAAAAATTGAAAGTGTGATTTCGGACCAACAATGTGCAACAGAAGACTTCTGTGTTTCCTTTTTTCTAACATATGTCTCATGTACTTGACGCGAAATTTTAAGGCTCTCTTATTTCGCCAATGTAATTAAACCGCACTGGCAAGGAATTCTATAAATACCCCAGGAATTATATCCGGAATGGGGTCCTTGAGTATAGAAGTTGGAATTTTTGATGGGAGAGTAAACAACCCGAAGTTAATTCTTCTGCAAAAATATGTCAAACTTTATAGCTAATTGATGGAAAGAAGGGAATTGACAACAGAATTTTTATAATCTCCTAAAATAAGAGTGTGGCTTTTAGTGTGTTGAGATGAGAATTTTTTAACTGCTTGATTAATAATGTTGGGTGAAAAGCCCCTGTCAATAGCTATGTTCTAGTTAACGATCCTAATTCCAATCCAAATTTGCCTTCGGCTTTTAGAGAAATTATGTTTTAGTTCTGGTTTCGCCAACAGATGGCGCCACTTGCTTATTCTTGTCCAGGCTTTCTTATCTTATCTAAACATTATTTCCTATTTTATTCATTTGCGGTTTTGCAGCTGAAGATGATGGTTCGGTAAAACCATCGAAACTAGTCCTGTGAAAATTTTGTAAATTAACGCTGATTTTTGTTGTTTGACTTCTGAATTAGTATTTATTCGGCGTGTTATTGTGTCTTAAAAATCAAATAATGGCATATCATTTCAGAGAAGGTCCGATTTCTTGTCAAAATACCTATGTTAGAATAATGTGATATATATATATATCCTAAGTCGCGCTTTTGGAGACATCGGCCCAGTAGAACGGGAGATATGGAACTGTCCCAACCACTTCCCCCCCCCGCAGTGTACAAAAATGTACACATATACATGTACTAAAATATTCACTTCGCTAAACATTACTTATATATACTTGTCATTTTAGTGAATATTCAGATTTATTTATCTTTACTCATTCAATTTTGTTTGTTTAGGCATAATTTTAAATTTATTGAAAAATGGCTCATTAAAAGTATCATTTAGTATTTTTTCTTATTTCTTATAAATGAATTTCTAATTTCTTGACTCTTTTAAATACACTTTCATTTCAATCAATTTTCTGTATAAACTCAGGCATTCATTTATTTTTATATAATATTTCAGGCATTAATAAACACCAGTTAAAGGGAAAATAATTATGCTTCCAAATATGATAAAATTAG